TTCGATTTGCACACAATTTCTTCTCTTCACACACTTCTATAAGAACATGTGAAATAAATGCATTTAAATATATATAAAAAATTTTCTGGCATGAGTTATCAATTGCAAAACTATTTACTGCCACTTACATGGTAACAGATGCCTCAGATATCCGGGCTCCACGCTGGGCGTAACGCGCCGTTCGCCCAAGGTTTCCAGATAATTGCAAATGTATTCGACCATTTCCATGCCACGTTTTCGAAATTCGGTGCTATCCATCTCTGTATTATTCGCTCTTTATATTTGTGATATATATGTATATATATTTATTTTTGTTGTTCTCGAGTAAATCAACTTGTGAGCGTATTGGAAAAAATTATAGTAAAAATTGTAGTTTATAAAAATATATTTTTTCAATGGTAAATTATATTTTTACATTGATAGCAATTAGGTTATTTTTAACACTTGTAAAGATTTTTATAAATTATTGAGCAGCAAATATACTAAAATAGTTTTTTTCTTCAAATATTTGGTTTTGTTAGTAAAAGAAATTAGTTTGTGGACTTTTTTAAATATTATCATTATTTTCTTTTATATTAGTTTTTATATATCAAAGAATGAATATATATTAGAATTAAAAGATTTTTGGGAAACGGATTTATATCAAATTATTAATCGGTTTATAGATGGATCTATATCAAATTATTATTCGTTAAATATATGAATATTTTATTATTTATGTTTGTGTTTGAAAAGTTGCTTTTGGTGAACTTTCCATTTTTAAAATATATTATCGAACCAGCTTAGTTCGAGGACCGGGCAAAATATGTACTTAAACAAAATTGTTTTAATTTTTATTTTAACAAATTGAACCTCAGAGCTCGTGCAAATTTATCTTAAATATTTTTAGAGTAATATTTAAAAGGTTTATCTGTGGGCTTCGATTATTTGTATTTTTAAAAATTGATAAATAGTCGTTGGATCAACATATATTCCTAAAGGTCACAGAGTTCAACTAACACAAAATTAACGCGTTGTTAATTTTTTCAATGTCGCACTTAAATTTTTTTTTGTTATTCGAAAAGTTATAGTGTAAATATTTTACAACATTTAATTTAGTTGCTATTTTGTTGTTTTTAGTTTGTTTATATGACGCTGCCACAGCCACGCCCACTGCTTTTATACCTGTTGATTTCAGTTAAGAATTGTATTCTCTATTTAAAATGTTCTGGCATTAACAAATTGCAGAGCTTTAAATTGTATTTTGTTTATAATTAAAATTGGCTTTAAAACAGCAGGCAGAATCTTAATTAAGCGTAATACGAAATGCTTGTGCACTAATTCAACAATTGTCGATTGTTGCCACTTTGTTAGTTTATTATGCAGCATTACAAATCTGTGGCAATAATGCCTGTTGCCACTGCCACTGCCACTGCCACTGCCACTTACTGCTTGCCAAGTCGTTATGGCCGCGACTGTCAACCGTTGGCCACGGCTTGCAAACCTCAAATGATCCTGGCTCTGCGGTTTGGCCAGGAGCTAAGCTCGGTCGCTGCCTGTTGGCATCTCTAATGAATGCATACTTTGCCAGTCCAAGGGGGCTGCAAAAGTGGGCGCTGGCGTAAGACTCAGCTAGGGGATGGTGGGCGTGGTGGTGTGCAGCTATTGAGGGTTGGCTTGCAAATAAATGAAATATTTGCCACGCACAGTGGATGCCGGTTAAGAAAAAAGTGCCAATGAAATTACGTTTTTAAATTTATTAGGGAAAATAAAAAAATTAATTTATAAATATACTCATGTTAAATGTTATTTGTATGTGTTTTTTAAATATATAAGAATAAAGATTATTATTGTAATTATATATTAAACTTTTTTTTTTATTTATGCTTAAATTAATTTATGATTCAGTAGTAAGAATACATTATTATTAAAAAAAAATATATTAGAAATGCAATAATCTGAATATTATTTATAATTTTATTATTATTATTAGATTATTACTATTATTATTATTAATATTACTATTATTATTGTTATTATTATTATTATTATTATTATTATTATTATTATTATTATTATTATTATTATTATTTTAATTTTTAAGATTATTTTTATTAATATTATACTCATTTTGTTATACAAAAGATTTGAAAATTGTATTCTTTATAAAAAAAACAAATAATATATTAAGTTATCCTTTTATTAAATTTTAATAAATTTCAATATTTAAATTTATTTAATGCCCCTTAAATTTTTATCGTCTTTTATAATATTATTAAATAAAACATGGGTCACAATGGCGCACATTATTCATCTCATTCACAGCGACCCCTTGTATTGTACGTGTATTTGTCTCTCTGTTCGTGTGTGTGTGTGTGTGTGTGTGATAAGTATGTTAGTGTGCGTGAAAATATGCAGCAGCGCAGCAAAACGTTTTAGAGTTCTCAAGTTAGAATTACGTATACGCCATGTTGAATGCTGTCAAATGTTGAATGCTCGGCGCATCCCAAATCTAATTTAAAGCCCTCTCCAGTAATTTACGTAAGTTAACTTAATTTATATAATGTTAATTCAAAGTACGCGTTTATTTTATTGTAAACAGACAAGTCCATTCAAGTAAGGGTAACCACACATACAAAAACACACACACACACACATACATAGATCTTGATCCCCCATCATTTGCAAGCAGCTTGTCCTTTTTCTTTGTGGCACACTCGTTTTATTAATAACTTCCGCACAAAATAGAATAACACTGGCCAACCAAATAATGCCTATGTTTTATTTGAATATAAATTAATTATTTTGTAATACAAATAATTGACGAATCTAATGCCATATATATATTGGTCTTACGCAGATTATATATTTTAATTCTTCGAGCTAGTTTTAATACTTTAAACTTGAATTAATTGAATAATTGTGTCAAATTAAATCCAACAAACTTGACTAATTGAGCATTCAGTTTATTGTTGCAGAATCAGAATTGCTAAGTCAATACTTAATTATGTACAAAAAGATTATTTACCTTAAGTAATTGTGCGGAAAAGTTTTTTTTATTATTATTGTTTATTATTATTATTGATAATCATAAATTTATTTATTATTAATTATTCTTGCTACTTGATTTTTACATTTTATTTTTTATTATCATTATTTTTATAATTATTATTTATTACTGTCATTATGATTATTCATATTTATTATTTTGATTAATATTATTTTTATCATTATTATAATTGTTGATGATTGTCTTCGAGCTACATGATTTTTAGAGTTTAAAACAAATATATTGCCTGTTGTGCTGTGTTGTTAGACAATAAACGTACTTGATAAGAATGGCTACGATGCCGCACTTGATAATGATGTTCCCTGTTTAGGATGATGATGATGACGATAACGATGACGTTCTCAATGAGACAGTCAGAGCAGTGCCTGTCATTTGGTATTTCGCAGGCATTCCTCGTAACATTCCAAAACGACCCCCACAAGTTCCCATACTCTTTTATTTTATATATATACATATATATGTATTTTTTTCTATTTCTGCTGCATTGAATCTTAGAATTGTCTGCGTTTTCATCTTTCTGTAGGACATGCGTTAATTGTCTGTGTGTGTGTGTGTGTGGGGGTGTTTGACTGGGTCATGAGATGCCACCCACAGCCTCAGTTTTGTGAAAAGTTCATTAATAAACTTTCGTTGCTGCTGTCGAATTCAGAGCTCTCTGCATTCACACCACCCACACGCCCCTTGCCACGTGCCTCAACTAAATGGTGTTTAGCTTCAACAAGTGGCATGCTACGTTACGCGCTGGGTGCGGGCCGGGATGGGTGTAAATTGTGTGTGTGTGTGTGTGTATCTTGGTTGCGCTTGCTCTCATTCTGCTCCTGTTGGTTGTCATCCTTGTTGTCTAGAGCCCCGACACCAACAGAATTTTATTTAATGGGAAATTTCTGCTGCAGCCGCGCGCATTTAATTGCTGTAGAAATGCTTTTTTATTGACTTTTACTTGAAATCCTCTTCATGCGCAATTCCCAATGGCGCTGTAACGGCCAGGTTGCTATGGTTAGAGTTAGGAGTTGGCCTAAGTTGTCTGAAGGAAATACATTTGATGCAGGCCAATTTACAGAGCACTAATAAGAAAATATATCCTTAATTCCCAATAACTGAAATAATTAAGCTTATAAGTTTTTAGATTCGAAATCTTTTAAACATATTTAGATAAGAGTTTTTCTACTGCCTAGAACTAAGTTGGTACAATTTTTGCCAAATCAGATAAGATAATCATATATCTTTCGTTCGATTAGTCCCGTCTATATGTCTCTCCGTAGACCCTTGATTGAACTTACCTTCGGATACATTTCTTAATGCTATTGGAACCAACAAAGCGACCTCATTTTGACATTTAGTACCCATATCTTTATGTTTTGATAGATTCTTGTAAAGATAACACTATCATTCGCATTTTATGCTTTCTTTATTATGGTTAATACTGCAGGCTGGATAATAATGAGCGACAGACAAAAGGCCCCTAGAAATAAATAAAAATTAAGCTCAAAACTCTCGAGCTTTAGATAACTTTCGAAAATTTCCGAACTGCCTTTTGATAACAGATTTTGGCGCTTTACAAATATTTACATTTAAATATGTATTGCATATAAATATAGATTATTGCCATCTAAAGTAGGGCTTGCAGAATTCGCCATAGCCGCAGCTTTTGCCTAGTTCTTCGGTTTGCGTGGGTTTTATTAGCGCCTGATTTTGTTTGGACCGTGGGGGCCGCGAAGCCGCTGTCGTCTCATAAAGCAATTATTCAATTTGCACCGACTGTGGTGACAATAACTGCGCAAGACATTTTATGAGTGGATGGATGGGCTCTTAGGGCAGCCTTTGAGTGTACCCAGCATGGAAAGCTATTGCTATTATCCCATTCTGGTTCAAGGTTGTCGCCGGGGGGCGTACAAAAATTCGTACACTAATCAAGTTGCATAGTTAATGGTTTTTCTTTAAATGCCTACAGGTTCGCAGAAATGATGCACTATCGCAAGGCGGAGAATGTGGAGCAGGAGCTGAGCAAAAATGATTTACCCTTCCAGAATTGCATGCCAAAGACGCACAAGGACTTCCTATGGATGCATGTAAGTGGCAGATATTTCAATACTTTTCCCAATTCATCATTTTCAACTCCAATTAATAGGTCAAGGGCGGCACCAAGGTGAGCAATGTCATTGGCTATGCACAGTCAGCGCTTGACAAAGGTGAATACCGCAGTCTGGTCTGGAGTGGCTCCGGTGGCGGCGTTGTCAAGACCATATCCTGCGCCGAGGTGCTCAAGCGCAGTCATCCGCTTTACCAGTTGACGCGCATGGGCTATACGAGGTGAGTTCTTGGCCAAGAAATGGGGCGCAGCATGTCCAATCAGTCTTTGCTTGCAGCGTGGAGGAGCACTGGAAGCCACAAATGGATGGCCTCGAGGAGATCATTGTCAACCGCCAAATACCCACACTGCACATACTCATGAGCCTGGACGAGCTGCCCGATGGCATAGAGGGGTTTGTGCCTGCCAAGACAGCATATTATCTAAATTTCTTATATATGGCATTATTTCTTTTCAGGGTACAAAATCCTAATACAACCAGCGATTTCTGGCAGCTCGATGAGCCACCTGCCAGCAGACCACCGGCTGCAGCTGGACGCCCAAATAAACGCCAACAATTTGGTCGCAACAGACCCCGACAACAACAACAACAACCGCGACACGGTCAGGATAGTCAAAACACTTCCAATTCTGAGACTGCGGCCAGCGAGCATACTTAATTTAAGTTAACTTACCTAGAAATTTTAAGATTTTTATTGGTAACTATGTAGCTTATGATTAGATCAAAATCATCTGCTAAAAAACTGTTTAACTGGCGAGTTTTAGATACGCTGCAAAACTAATTGCTAAAATATCGAAATTTGTAAGAATCAGATTTTATATGTATATATATATCTGTTTGACCAAACTGGTTGATCCAAACCATACACAAATTCCGAAAATTTGACCCTCAATTGAGGAAAGAAATCATTTTGATTGTAAACTATATTACATCGTTTTAAACGAGATTTACTGATGTGAAAAGTCTAGCCCAGACAAACCGTCAGTCATATACGTTGCACATATATATTTAAGAACAAAATAAACAAATACATGTATATACTGTTTCACATAAAACAACAAAAATTCTTTTGATTGCATATTCTGTATGCCAAGACATTAATAGACATCCTTTTTAGAAAAATAGCTCTATCTCGCAGACCAAAAGGATGATCTGTATGTCCTTCGGCTCTATTCAATACAATTTTAATGACATAGGAGTCGTCAGGATACGTAAGGATATGGCCGAGTTGTAGGCAATATTCTGTTGCAAATTTTGCCCTTAAAACTTTGCCGTTTAAAGGACTTTCGTCCTTGTAGTTCATTCTTGATTAGGAGGGTTAGCCCTAACTGCAGGCCAAAGGACATCCCGATAGTCCTTGAAATGGCCAAGCTATGGCCGATTTGATTTTGGTTTCCCTTTTAGAAAAATAACCACAACACGGCCATATCCTTGGAGATTTTTAAAGGACTTGGTGCGTTAGGATCGTAAGGACGAGCAGCATCGATCTGCATCAAAAAATTATGGGGTCATCTAGGAATCATGGACTTGGTAAAATTTCATTCGCGCGCCGCAGGGAAAAGGCCCTAAAACACAAAATCGTGAATATCTCCTAAACAAAAAGGACGATCTCGATGTCCTTTGGCCTGCTGCTGGCTCTATTTAATACAATTTTTTTGACATAGGACTCGTCAGGATACGCAAGGATATGTCCGAGTTATAGGCCAATTTCTGTTGCAAAATTTGTCCCTAAAACTTTTCCATTTGAAGGACTTTCGTCCTTTTTGTGGTTAATTCTTGATTGGCCCACCCTCCACTTACTGCTGGCCAAAGGACATCCCAATAGTCCTTAAAATGGCAAAGTTAGACCGGAATTTTTCGATTTTGGCCAATTTTTCGACTCTACCCCTTGACAAAATTTAAGCAAAATTTTTTGTCGAATCCTGGAAATCCTTGAATGCCAATCGAATGTCCTGATGAACACGAGTTCAAAAAGGTGTATCCTTCCGAGATCCTTAAGTATTTGACCGAGCTATGACTATAAATATAATGTCCTTTTCAGAAAAATAGCCATATTTCCGAAACCACAAGGACGATTTGAATGTCCTTTGGCCAGTTGATAACCTTGACCCATACAAGTTTTTTGAACTATGAGCTGTCAGGATCCACAAGGACACGGGTGAGCTATAGGCTTTCTAATAAGCAAAATAAAAGTCCTTATATTTCAGCTGTTTGGATGACTTTCGTCCTTTTCTTTGTATATTCTAAATTGACAGGATAAGCTCAGTCTGTTGTCTAAAGGACATCCTGATAGTCCTTTAAATAGCCAATATATATTTTGTGAGCAACTCCTTTTTAGAAAAATAGCCATAACACGGCCATATCCTTGCAGATTTTTAAAGGACTTGGTGCGTTATGATCGTAAGGACCAACTGCATCGATCTGCATCAAAACATTATGTGGATCTGCATCAAAACATTATGGGGTCATCTAAGAATCATGGACTTGGTAAAATTGTAAGGAAATGGGCCAAAATCGTTAATATTTTAGAAAAAACGAGGAAGAGTCCGTTGTAGATTGGTCAGTTGGTAGCCCGGAGCTATGCAATTCATTTCACACAGGACTCGACCGAGTTATGGCTTATTTTCTATATACAAAAATATCCTTTTTTCTTCGTGTATGTTCGCCCTTGTTATGCATGTTATAATAAATTTATTTAATTATTCAAATGTTACATATATCACCATCAATTCGTGTAGGCCACAAGAACTACAGAGTATTTAAAATTAAACAACGAGTGGAAAATATGACGACCGGCTATACTTTATTAATAAGAAAGAGCCCTAGATAGTCTAAATTGTAGTATTGTTAAGCTAGTATTATTGTAGTTTATTTACTTGCTTTGATAAGCCACGAGAAATCTAATCTGGACGCGTGCATTGATTAAAATAACACACGGCTGCAATCAAGATGGGCGGCCACTAAAAATTGGCTCAGTAGAAATAATGCTGCGATTGGGACGTGTTTTGCGCACGGGTGCACTGCATCAGCAGCTGCGCTGCCAGAGCGGTGCACAGGCCACAGCCGCTTGCGGGGATGCGCTGCCCGAGCGCTGCAATGTGCTGATCATTGGCGGTGGCGGGATGGGTGCCTCCTCGGCGTACTGGCTCAAATGCAGGACACAGCATGAGAAGCTGAATGTGCTGGTTGTGGAGCGGGATGCGTGCGTGAGTTAGTCCGTATTGGCTATAAAGGATTCGCTCTAAATGTTCGCACATTGTTGCACAGTACACGACTGCATCCACAGTGCTGTCCGTGGGCGGTGTGCGGCAACAGTTCTCGCTGGCGGAGAACATTAAAATGTCGCTCTTTGGCTACGATTTCATTTCCAGTTGCCGCAGCTATTTGGGTGATGTGGACTTGAACTTTCAGCCGCATGGCTATCTTATCTTGGCCAGTGCCAAGGGCGCTGAAACGCTGAGCCGCAACTCGAAGCTGCAGAATGAGCTGGGCGCACGCAACGAGCTGCTCGGTGCGGAGGCTTTGCGCACCCGGTTTCCCTGGCTCTCCACGGCGGACATTGAGCTGGGCTGCTATGGCGTGGACAAGGAGGGTTGGTTCGATCCCTGGGCCCTGCTGATGGGCTTCAAGAAGCGGGCGCGCGCCTATGGCGCCCAGTTTGCCAATGGTGAGGTGACTGGCTTTGAGTGGAATTCAGCTGGTGAGCTCTCCGGCGCTTTGGTGGCCTGTGCCGATGGTAACGTACGTGCCGTTCAGTTCGATACTTGCGTCCTGGCTGCGGGCGCACAGTCCGGGCAGGTGGCGCGTCTGGCCAAAATTGGCACGGGTCAGGACTTGCTGAGCGTGGCGTTGCCCGTGGAGCCGCGCAAGCGTTATGTCTATGTGATAAATACGCAGGGTCGCAATTGTCCGGGCCTGGCGACGCCGCTAACCATTGATCCCAATGGCACGTATTTCCGGCGCGACGGTCTGGGCGGCAATTTCCTGTGCGGTCGCAGTCCGGCGGATGATGAGGAGCCCGAATGCGATACACTGGACGTCGATCACGGCTACTTTGAGTCCGATGTTTGGCCCACTCTGGCCAACCGTGTGCCCGCCTTCGAGTCGGCCAAGGTGCAGAGCAGCTGGGCTGGCTACTATGATCACAATAGCTTCGATGCCAATGGGGTAATTGGCCGACATCCGCACTACAAGAACCTGTACATAGCAGCTGGTTTCAGCGGCCATGGCATACAGCAGACGCCAGCGGTGGGACGCGCCATCGCGGAACTTATACTGGATGGTAAATATCGTACACTAGACCTTAGTGGCTTGGGCTTTGAGCGTCTGGTGGCACAGCAGCGCATGCTGGAGGTGAATATTGTCTAAACGGGAAACCTGTTTTAAATGGTTTGCTGTTTCGATTTATTGTAAATGTTTTTATATAGTTTATGATGAATAAACTTTACTTATTAGTTTTTGTTACAACTGCGTTTCCGTTTTTTAAAGGGAAAATTTTCTTTTCTTTTTTTTTTTTGGGAAAAGGAAAATCTGTTGTGTCTAATGTGTGTTCTTGTGTTCGTGGGTGTGTGTGTCTACATATAATTTATTTAAAATAAGAATTTTAACATAATCATTACGGAATTAAGTGGCGAATCGGTTTAGTTGTCTGTTTAAACTTTTGCTCTTGTTAATATTATATAGCTTTTTATATATTTGTCGCTTTGAACTAGATACACAAAAATTTGCAAATGAGTTTTCGTTTTCTCCATTCTTCCTTTTTAATATGCCCCTCAATTCTGCTGCCCCGTCAGTTTCTTCCTTTTACTGTCCGTCCGTGTGTGATCCAAAAAACAAAATGATGCGTTTAACTCGAATCTCTAATGCAAGCTATTAGTAAATATATATATATTATAAATATGTTTAAGTGAGTTGTGTATGAATGACTGAGCTTTTGTCCGTCAATAATTTCTTATGCTTTAAGTTTGTGTTGCTGTTCTTGTTGTGGTTGTTGTTGTTGTTCAATTTGTTATTGTTATTGTTGTATTTGTTGCTTAGGCTTCACTTTCGCCAGGTGCCGCATTCTCCTCCTCGTTAATGGGCACAATCAGATTCTCCTTGGACATGAGATTGTATTTTGTGACAAAGTGTGTAAATCGGTGGCATAGATACGTCTCAGCCTCGAACTCATCAAAGATGCGACGATGATGAAAGTATGCGTGCGAGAATATGCGATAGACGCGTCGACACACCGAGCCCAGCTTGGTCACCGACGATTCCTTGATGGAAACTCTGTGGTCGGGTGTAACACTTGACTCATTATGCGGCTAGTTGCTTGGGGCGACTCAATACACATACCTGCTTGGAAAGTATTTGTTGCTATTCAGCAGACAGGCGGCGCCGTCCAGCGTGTGGCGTGTATAATCAATGGCAGGGCACTCCTTGGGCGTTTTGTGTGCCGCACACAAGAATATCCATTGATCGGTGGCCGTCATTTGCGTGCACGTCGACGGGGAGCATTGTTTCTGCAGCCGCACGGCCAGTCCATTCAATTCCATGCAGAATTGCCGCAAATGCTCATATTTCCAGACGCCCTCGTCTTGTGCCTCGGGCATGGTCAGTATTAGCTCCACATTCGAGGGATCGCGCTTAATCATCTGCTGTATGTACTGCTGCACGGCGAGTGTGCTGTCCATTTCCTCCAGCGGTTCATCGGGCCAGCGACAGAAATCCTGTTGTTATGCGGGCGAAAGTTGCAGATTTTGGGAAAACAGTTTGGTTTCTTTTAAATGCCATTACATACCTTTGATTTTGTGCCTGGTCGGTTCCTACGCAATATTGTCGAGCCGTCAGCCATCTTCATGTTTCACCTTGCCTCAGTCGGAAGGAAGAAACAAAACAACACTAACCCACACGCAAACACACACACGAACACTTTTGGGGCCCTGTTGTATGAAGACAACGAAGCTGTGGAAAATATAAGGGGCGACCAGGAGCCGAACGCTCTACAAGTCGCAGGCGCTGTGTTTGTGGCTAGCCAAATGCAGCAATTAATTTAAGCTAAATACGATAATAGTTATTTTCGTTTACACATTTCACATTTAATTAATTATAAATTGAGCTAAAACACTTCGCTTTGTGCGAGAAAATTTCTGACAAAACTGCTACATACATACATATAGGGCTGGCATATCGATATCGCATTGGTGCGCAACATTGGCAACCCTATGCGCCAATTGTCGCAGCCCTGGATGTGTGTGCAGCTGTCGTTATCGTTATCGTTAATCAGCACCAGTCGTCATCATCAGTCAACTTGCAAAACTAGACGGATTGGAATTGCGTATTATTATTGCCATATATATCGTTCATAATTGCTTAAGAAGTACATAATAGAGTTCATAAAGTAACCAGCAGCAAAAATGTCCTACGCGTACTTGTTCAAATATATTATCATTGGCGACACTGGTGAGTGCTGGCATATTCCATATGAGTGTGTGTGAAAATTTGTAGTGCGATTGTCTCCCCAAACTGTGCAGTAACAACAAAACAAAGACTAAGAAAAACTCAAACTGCGTAGTGTTTGTCATCTAGTTTTTGCCCTTTGGCTGCCATTAAAGCTAGAGTCAAGCGCAGTGACCAGCTGCCTTGCAAATGGGAAGCACACCACGCTGCAAGGAAAAATCAATAAAACCATAACAACGCCTCTGTATAGAAAGGCGCGGGCGTTACTCCACACTGTTGAAGTTAACAGTTGCTTACTATTTAGTCACAGGGGCTGTGCGGGGTGCAACATTCGTATGTTAGGGACCTGCTGTTGCCTGCCGCTGAGTCAACCGCTGCTTGAGCCACCAACAATTCCAACCCCAAACCCCATGCAGACTTCTGCTTGGACGCATTTTAGCATGATTTTTGCTACTCAGCAAAAGTTTCAAAGGGATAGTGTAAAATATCTGTTCATCGTTTTCCGCTTGGCTTATCAGCAGTGCAAATATATACATATGTATGTATGTACACACATATACACATACAGCGCTTTTCATTGACAGCTACATTAAACAGCTGTTGATTTCACTTGGATCTTATCAGACAAATATCTGCAGAGGGTAACTTCTGCTAGCTGTTGTCCTTTAAACCTTTAACTCTCAATTGTAGTGCTGAAAATGAGGTGTTAAATTAACACATAACTGGGGTCCGACGATTAAATACCCTTGCCAGCATATGTCATTGATATCTTATATTCTATATACAATACAAAGAGCTGTCATATAAATATACATATGTATATATGATATCTTATATTCTATATAAAATACGAAGAGCTATCATATAAATATATATATAGTTATAGTAGTAGTTATAGTTATAGTTAAAAATGAATTTGAATTTCGATAATCTGTTTTACGGTTTGTGCTACACAAACATTATATACATATATATATATATATACATAACCCATTGATCCCATTCAAACTACGACAGCTTTTGGTATAGATATCATATTTAGCTTACGCAATGAATCAAAAAATTGGCAAAATATAGTTTAATTTAGCTCAGTTGGAATTGTTCGAATAATTGTCTGTTGTTTTGCTGAAAATATTGCTTTACTTTGTGAAAATGTTTAAAAAAACTTTCACTTTAGCGCTTTAAATTTCATAAGCGGCAATTACTAAATTAGTTTATCTTTGCTTTATGGCGTATTTCTCAAGGCGTTGGCAAGTCATGTCTGCTGCTGCAGTTCACGGACAAGCGCTTCCAGCCGGTGCATGATCTGACAATTGGCGTGGAGTTTGGAGCACGCATGATCACCATTGATGGTAAACAAATAAAATTGCAAATCTGGGATACAGCCGGTCAAGAGGCATTCAGGTGCGTTATAAACGGTTAAAGAAAGTTTGTGCATTATTTAATTGTTTTATTTGTTTGTTTGTACGCCAATTAGATCAATTACACGATCGTATTATCGTGGCGCAGCTGGCGCTTTGCTTGTCTATGACATCACAAGGCGCGAGACATTCAACCACTTGACCACATGGCTGGAGGATGCGCGCCAGCACTCAAACTCAAATATGGTGATCATGCTAATTGGCAACAAGAGCGATCTGGACTCGAGGCGTGAGGTGAAAAAGGAGGAGGGCGAGGCATTCGCAAGGGAGCATGGCCTGGTCTTCATGGAGACGTCGGCGCGCACAGCAGCTAATGTTGAGGAGGCTTTCATCAATACAGCCAAAGAGATTTACGAAAAGATACAGGAGGGTGTATTCGACATCAACAATGAGGTACACAACTTATTACAATAATTAATTGTGATAACAGCATGACTAATGCGTTTTCATTTATTGCAGGCAAACGGTATTAAAATCGGTCAACAGGCAACGCCCACAAATCCAGCGCTGCCCGGCTCCGGCGGTGCGGGTGGTGCAGTTAACAGCGGTTGCTGCTAGGAATAAAAAACAATTTTGCCGATGCCTGCACTTGGGATAGCCGTAGCCCGTAGCCGATAGCCGCTTCTGTAAAAGCTACTAGTGACTAACTCGTAGAAGGTAGTGGAAGCTGATTTATTGTTTTCATTTTTTTATTTCAAGCAAAATATTAACCGTAATAAATTTAGCTGCAAAAATAGTAAACCGCAAATTAGTGAACCGTTTTCAACACTAAGCGTAATGTTTTAAAAGAAGAAACCCCAAAAACTAACATAACCGCTGAAAAGAATAAATATATAATAAAACAATAGATAAAATAAGAATGCATTAAATTCAGTTTTAAATAAACTAAAGATCAACAATTGTATATGTAAAATGTGTCGTGCGTGATTTCTAAATTTTGTAAACTTTAAACAAAAAACATACGTATATAAAAAAAAAATAAAAATATTTTTGTGTACATTTAGTTAGTTTGCTAGTTACATTTTGGCTGAGCAGTAATTGATAAATGGCGTGTAATATATATACATATATTATATAAACATACTATGTGAACTTGTCTCATTGTGATTCGTTTTTCGATGAATCCTAAGCACCCAATCCCGTCTCTCCCGTTCGTGGTGGCTGCTTTTTTTCTACTACATTATACAAATAATTATTTATGATTTGTTTATATTTTATGTTGAACGCATTTGCTTTGTTTTTGTGTAATTTGCATAACATTTAACGATATACATATATACAAACACAGACATGCATACAAAAATAACTATATATATTATATAAGTTTAATACATAATTATTATACAAAAACAAAAACAAATCGTGGTGATAATGCTAAATCAATTTGATTATGTCGCCGACAATTACGAAGTTTATATATATATTAAAATAAAGACAGAAATAAAAATTAAACAAACAAACATGAAATAAAATCAAATTATTTATAAACATTTGTATTTGCCAGACCCAAAGCAGTATAATATTAATATACACAATAAATATTACAAAAATACAAACCACAATTGTGTTATATTTTGTTGGGTACGAAGAGGTTTAAAGAAAAAACATCCGGCTTCTTTTAAAAATTATGTTTTAATTGTTGAATATTGTTTAATATATAGGTATATACTATTTGTGTTAAGTTAATTGCTGCTGGTAAACAGTTTAGAATTGCATTTTAATGTAATATTGTTTTATTTGCTAAATGTTGTTCTGCTTATGGCTAACAAAACTGTTTTTGTTTTTTATTTATTTATTTTTTAATTTTTTATTGGAAACAACAGCTACATAGTCTACAGTTGTATATAGAGGTTATATTTAGGCATTATTTAGTTGGATTTAAACTAAATTGAAGTGTGCTTTATATGTATATTTATATATTTCTAGTTGCTTTTTAGGCATAGGCTAAATTGATCTCAGTGCGCTACGTGAACTTCTTGATTTATTTTTTATAATAATACTTGAACTGCGTCGGTTTTTTGTTGACAAAAATTATTTTAAATTTATTCAATTTGCTGGCGAACCATTTGCAATTCGGGCGATGTTCTTTTCTTTCTGTTAATATGTATCATCAATAATTCATCAACAATTTACAAAAGTTTTACCTAGTCAGGAGCTAAGTATTTTAATCGCTAGTTGTTAATTTGCCGCTTTGAAGACTGTTAGTTAAATTGATTGCGAACTTGCCTTTGAATTTATTGCATACGTTACATAGATTGGTATTGATATTGATTATATTTGTAATTTGTTGTTCTATGACAATCGAGGCGAATCTTTGAATGTGATTTTACAACAATTATTAAACTATTATTCGTTTACAAAAAAGACAATTAGGGTAACCCGTTTTGCGCATGGCAGTGATGCACTGCATTGATATTGAATTCTGGTAACTATAGTTCGGTCAATAGTATATAAGTATGCATGTTGTTGTTGTTGTTGTTGTTGTTGTTGTTTTATTGGAGTATCCGTACAATGTAGTTGTCCTAGTGCGTTAACTAACTAATATAGTTGTTAAATATAATATTAGTTTTCAAGTCAATGTTTTGCTTACACGCGAAGAACTAGTTATTAATTAATTATTTATCTATTAATTCGCTCTGAGTTTTATATTTTAGGTAATGTTTTTTTTTTTTTTTTTTTTGTTTTGTGGTTTTTGTTTTTTAGCTGCAACAGCATTTGACATAAGAAACTTGATAACATTTAATGCTAGTCCATTATTTGTGTTTTAATTAGGCCGCAGTGCTGCATAATTGCACTGAAGTTTATCAATTGTAGTCCTTGAATTATATATAATTATTTTTATATAAATTTCTTTTCGCTTTGATTGGTTCTTCTACTGACATTTTAATAAACTAATGTAAAAGTTGAGCTTTTTTAGTCTCTGAGACATCACTATCACTCTCCTTAGTTGGTTTCTTCTCACAGAACTCAATCATATACGAACAGACGCCGGAGAGTGCTATAAATATGCCCGCATAGTAGAAGGAGTCGTCCCATCTGTACATACATACATTAAATTGTTTGGTTAACTAACTGATCCTTAAGTGGTTAACAAATGCTGTACATACCTGCCCGTAAACTCATAAATGGCGCCTGCTATCGGCGGGCCGGCAATCATGCCAACGCCCTGCACCAGCAGCACCAAACCGTAGGCACAAGTGAAATCATCCATATCAACGATACTGACCAATATGCTGGGCGTAAACGAAAAGGAGCTGGCAAAAGTGAATCCAAATATGACGCACATCGTCATCAGTCCATTGTAGTTATTGATTAGCAAGGGCATAAAAAACACCGAAGCACCACAAACTGTAAACAATAATAAAAAAAATGTTTAAGTTATATTTCATAAGCATTCTTATAATATTCCCTCAATGGGGGCAGGCGTAAAAATCAGTTTATTTATTACTTCAACAAAATATCTTTTATTAAATGTTGTATTTGCGTTCCAGTAGACAATATCAAATTTATGAAAATCGCATAGAAAGGCGATTAATATATGTAACTTAAATGAAAAAGTACAGAAAAACTCATAATTAGAAGACCTTTGTAATCGATAACTTTTTAGATATTACTTGTTCTCACATTCCTCATCTACATTTCTCTTGCCGTTTACCATAATAAACTTATTCTTATTTACTTTTGTTCGTCCTTTCTTTCTCTCTATTTCTCTTTCCCGTCACTCTCTTCCACCCTCTCAGCCACTCTTAACTCTCAGACAAAAAGTGAAAGCGAGCGCCTTTCTCTGCGATTTTCAGTCTTTTAATTAGAGTTTATAGCGAATATGCGTTTTGTAACAGAATAACTTCGCTGTATATCATTTCGTACTATATTTTTACATATATATATTAGTTATGGTCAGAACTTACCCAGCATGCATATGGAGTAGCATATATTGATATTCATCCAGGATGAATCGCCCAGATAACCCAGTCCAATCATGCCCACCGTTTGCGCAATACCAATTCCGGATATGAGTACTGCGCTTACGCTCACCTCATAGTTATATTGCTTCATGTAATCGGGCAGATAAAGATAGGGTATGATAAACCTGTAAAATGTTTATTTTATTATTTAATGTTTGTTTGTAATAAACATTGCGTGTTGTCAAGATAAGTGAAGGTTTATTATCAAATTTGTTTAGGCTTTGTAATATGAGTAACGACTTATCCTTTTAAGTAATTTACGATCTATTAAGTGCTTAGCTTTACTATAATGTTTTTAATGTGATTATTTACATACATTAATTTCATAGCTTGAGTACCCCTAAGTGCGCACCAAGGGGTTCATAATTTCTGTATAATACATGATATTTTGAGCAGTTGCCAAAAACTGATTGCGACATTTGTACTTGACAGATTTTCGACTCGTTATGGCCGTTGGCATTTCGAAAATATCTATTAATTTTCGCACCAGATACACAATTTGTGGTGCGCAGATTGAGACCTTCGGAAAATGGGCGCTGAGTACTTACCAAATGAACAAAAACAATGTGGATAGATTGAAGAGCGCGAATTTGTTATCCAAGAAGAGTGAAAAATCAAAGGCCGATTTCATGGTGTCCACAAAGTTATCATACCAGGTCTGCGAAGCGAGATAAGAATTTATATGAATTATTATTATTATTATTATTTTCTTTTTTGAGCAGAAATTAGGCAATACGGAAACAAAGCACTGTCTGATTGGCCGCTTATCAATACGAGATGTTCTACAATCAACCCACCAGTTGTATATATGTCTATTATTAATATATGTATTGTTTATATATTTTGTAGTGCGTCGATAATCGCGCCTTGAGCCCAATAGAGAGCAGCGGTTGTCATGCGTGCGAGATTTGGACTTGGACTCGCAGTCGCCTGATAACTGACAGAGCAAACGAGCGAGTTAAATATTGACCAGGCTCTGAGAAATCATAAGATTCTACCTATACTAAAACATGAAAATGAAACTATTTTAAGAGGAAAGCAAGTACACAATATGATCAAAGGTTACATAGCTAAATATTTCTAGATTTCTATGTGGGAGATTTCAAATCCTGATTCGTTAGTAAAATATAGAAATAATATTCCATAACCCTAATCTAATCAAAGCTTGACCCTAATCAGTTTTTAAATTAGAATAAAATAAACAGTAATTAAAAGTCTTTAATTCGCATGATTTTTAATAATTGATTATCATTAAATTGGATTATTTTGTTCTATTCTAAGTTATCATATCATGATTTACTGAAAATATTTAAAGCTGGAAGACAGCTGCCTTCTATCTTATCTAAGCCTCAATTCTATATACTCACATCTTCCTCCTCCTTGGCAATGGTGGTCATCGAGTTGCGATAGATGTTGGGGCAGGAGGAGGCGCGCAGGCGATAGCGATGCGTGTTGAGCATGGCTCCTCGATAATGTATGGAGTTGCGATGTATGCGCATATCCTTCAGAAAATTGGAGTTCCTGATGGAGATGTTGCGACGCAGATTCGAGCGATGCGCATTGGGCTTCTTCGAGCGTGATAGACGGCGCAGGCCCGTAATACTGTCTAGACGGGAACGACGCAGCGCTAGCTCGCTGTTCTCCTCGTGCTCGGGTATGGCAATCACGGTGGATGCAGCAGGGCGCGGGTGTGGTCTGGGATGTGGATCGAGCAGCGCGAAGGACTCCTCCTTGACGGCCATGTAGTAGGTGTGCATATCATCGCTCAGTATGTCCACAGAGTTGTGGCGCAGCCCATTCATCAGGTTGGACAGCGAGCGCGTATTGTGCTTGGTCATGAAGAGATTTTCATTGAGCGAATAACGAGAGCTGGCATAATTCTGCTCGTTGTGCTTCTGTGTGAGGTAGCCCTCGTCCGAGGAGCGCACCGAACCATTCGGTGTGCCCGCAACTGTGGAGCGCTTCTCCGAAGGCGACAGGGTCTCTATGGATGCCAAGTAGCTCTTTTTGGCCGCCTCCGCCACCTCGTACGGTATGCCGCCCATGAGTGTATCATCCGGAGAGCCTAGAATTGGCGCCGTGGGTCCGTAGGCTGCGGCGCCCGACGACATGGACAGCAGATTATCGCGTGAGGGCGCCTCGGCGCCCTCCTTGTGCCGCAGCGAGCGACGGCTCAGGCTCTTCACCTCGCAAATGCTGTCCAGTTCCTGGGCGCTGAGAAATGTGGGCAAGAACAATTCGCTGCGATAGCGCTTGAGGCTCGTGTCCAGCGGATCATCAATTTGCTGATTGGCCTCGGTGTTGTTCTTGGTCACCAGAGTGTCCAGCACGGCCTCCTTGGTTATGCCAGTGTCCAGCAGTTTCTTGATCTCCTCCAGACACACGCTCGAATTGGAGAACGTGGTCACACTCTGCGAACGGCTCTCCAAGCGATTTTCCTCAATCAGCCAGTCGGGATCGCGCATCAAAGCGCCACACACACACGCATTCAGCATGGTGCCGCCCAGGATTAGTGTGGCGCCACGCCAGCCATATGAATCTACCAAATACTGTGTGAGACGCGCATAGACAAAAGTTCCAATGCCCGTGCCAGAGGCGCCAATGCCCGTGGCAAAGCTGCGCTTCTTATCAAACCAAAAGGCAATCGATACCACAGCCGTGACATAGCCAATGCCAAGGCCCAGTCCGCTGATGATGCCAAATGTGACCATCAGCATCTCAACGGAGTTGCAAATGGAGGAGATGGCAAATCCAAAGGCGGACACAAGGCCGCCAAGTATGGTCATCTTGCGGCAGCCATATTTATCCACCAGATTCGACCAAATGGGACCCATTAGCAGCGGCACCGAAAAGAACAGGGAACTGATCCAAGCGGTCTTCGATGGCGACTCGCCAAAGTAGGCCAGCAGCTCGGTATTAATCAGGCCAAAGGAGAAGGAGAGGCCATCCCATATCAGGGAGACCACCAGCGAGGCAAACACCACAACCCAACCGTAGCCGCCATCGGGCATTTTGGGCGTCTTCTTTTCGGTGCTGCTCGAATCGGTGGAATCGCCCGATTCATTCGATATCAAACGCTTGCGCTTCTTCACCTCGCTGCCAGTCATCATCAAGTTGCCATCCCCGTCGAGGGCAATAATGCTATTGCGTACCGTGCGACTGTGGCCGGCGGCATCGTCCAGCTCCTCCACGGATAGATTGCAGAAGGTCACCTCCGGGAAGAGGTCGTGTTTGATGGACTTGTTCAGCGGCGTGTTTGCCGGCGCGGGCAGAGTTGGTTGACAAATGGTGCCATTCAGTTTACTGCTGCTATTATTAATATTATTGTAATTATTATTATTATTGTTATTGGCAGCTGCATTGGTGTTGTTGTTGCTGCTGCTGCGCTTGTTGTTGGATTTGTTGCTGTCACTCTGTGTAGCTGTTGGCTTGGCCATTTTGTCTTAGGCTCTAATTTAATTACTTCTCCTCTCAATATATATATTTATTTAATTTTTTTAATTGTTTTTAATATTTTTTAAAAGCAGCTTGTAAAAATTTGCACTTGTTACAATTAATTGTGAACACAGTTACATAGATTTCAGCAAAAATTTCTATTTAATTTCTCTTTAAGTAGCTGTAGGTGGATTAAGATTGCTTACGTTTCGCTCTAATCCAAATTTCCAATTGATCAACCCTGTGAAAGAGAAAGAATGCAAGGAAAATTGAATTAATTTGTTCTTGTTTAGTTTGTATTTATATTTAATTAATCATTAAACTAAAATAAAATGATAATTTCCTATTTGAGTTTTCAATTTCAAATGAGCCTAAATTTAATCAGTTAAGTCTTTGCCAATTTAATTATGTTTAAGCTTTTAAAAGGCTTTACTTTGAAATTCACTTCATAAAAAGCTCATTTCAAGTGCTTTAAAAGCTTTGGCAGACACTAATAAACGTAGCTTAAAGCAGACTTCGTTTAAAGCACTTTATTCATTAAAGCTTTCAGGGTTTTTATAGAATCAAAGGTCTCTTAGAGTTGCCCAATTTATACCAGCACTATTTTGACCGCTTTACAACACTTTATGCCCAAGTAAAAAGGAATGCTCAAGTGCGTCATGGGAACTAAAGCGAAGGGGTTTGCATCGTCAAAAAGTTTACATTCCTTTTAAGTTTGCTTGATTAATTGGAAAACTTTTGCCATAGCTTTATAACTATAAGAAAAGTGCAGAACTTGCGACGCTTTTATTAGTTCGCAAGTTGCATAAGTTGCACTTACGCGCCAAGCTTCGGGCTAAAGATGACACGAATCCATCATCCGTTTAAAATGCTCTCAGACACAATTTAAATTTGCCATAACAGTTTGTGGTTAGTTTGTTATTGTTATTGTTATTATTTTTATTATTGTTGTTATTTTCTGCTTTGTTTGCAAACAATTCGCGTTTGTTGCCACTGTCAGACAAACAACAATAGCAACAAGAAGACATTTCGTTTGCAAATTCGCGCAGAAACTGTTTTTCGAATGGGCAATTTTCGACATTTGCCGCTGACGATGAAAATTAAGTTTCGCCAAATGCCTTCAACTTGACCCCATATAAATAGCCGAAAAGCAGCGACAAAGAGCAACTAAGCGCAATTTCCTTTTTGCCTGTTTTCTTTTTTTTGTATTTCGAGAGAGGCCTCGCAACATGCGTCACAGCGATCGAGCAGCTGATTTTAAATTGAATTTCACAAATATGAATTTAAAATCGAGAATTGTATTTTAGTATTTTTCCTATGATGTGCGGCATTGTTTACGTTTTTCGCATTTGGCACTCAAAGTGCTCGTCTGCTGTTATTTATAGAGCACTGTAGACGCTTAAAGGGGTTAACGGGGGGGTGGGATGGGCAAAAATGACTTGAGTTTTCGGGCCTCAAAACAGTTTGCTCAAATAATAATGCAAAAGAGCTTATTCTTATGTAACAAACGAGCTTTGCGAATCGAAAGTTGAAGATTTAGTACATTTTGAGAGTTTATGTTTATAATAAAATGAAAATATATAGTATAAAAAAGAATAAAATGTACGTAAATAATATAAAAGCAAAAAAGACTAAGAAGTAAGATAAACAAAGTAGCTATAAGGAGTGTTCCATGCACTAAACAAAAAGATACGACTTATAAATTGGATTTGTTTTGACATAAAAATGGAATCTGAAAACCTAGGAAGCCGTCCTCTACAATATTTTGAGTTCCCAAGGGCAAAAGCAGCAATTCTGACATAGTTACGTGATATGTACACCTAGGAATCCTTTCTCTAAAATATTTTCAGTTCGAAAGGAGTATAAGTAACATTATTGACATAATTATGGGATCTGTTAGCCAGGAACACTTTCTCTTAAATATTTTGAGTTTGCAAGGAGTATATGTAATATTTTTGTAATTTTGTACAAATCTTAAGCTTGATTAAATATTATAAAGGCGTACACTGCATTAATTCAATATACCTATGCTTTATAATTATCAAAAGAATTATCATTATTACTATTATAATTTATTGATTTATTAAGATTTTAATTTTTCCAAAATTATCAAACTCCAAAAATGGAGACATATCTAAAAAACAAAACAATACATTTAATATACCTTAAGCAATAAAATGAATAAATTTTTAATATATATTGTATATATCCATATAATAAATTACTGGACTTACCTTTATTTGCACACGCTTTTGTGTTCGCAGCCTAAGTAATCCGGCTCGACTCAAGATTCCGAATAAAATACAAAAAAAGTTTTGCACTTAACAACACTGGAAGTTGTCGGTTTTAAAACTTGAACAGTAGACCTTGAAATTTCAATTGTTTATCGTTGTTATAGTAATTGTGATTGTTGTTTTTATTGTTGTTGTTGTTGTTATTGTTGTCACTGTCACTGCCGCCAATTAATTCACCATAATTGCACAAATCTTCAGTTATATTCAATTCGCTTAAAGTGCGTTCTGGATGGGCCAAGTGTTTATTCAGCGTGGCGGTCTTGTTGAAAATTCTTAGACGCGGATCGCGTGGTATATAATGTAGAAACACTTTATTCGATTTGCTGCTGTTGTTGTAAGTGCGCGGATTGTTAATGTTGCTATTATCAAAAGTTGTTGTTGTCTTTGTTGTTGATTTTGTTGTTGTTGAGGAGGATTTCTTGTTGCTGCTGCTGTTCTTTTGCTTTTTAATGGAGCTGCCAAGGGCTGTTGTTGTTGCTGCCGCTGCTGCGGCGGCGGTTGTAGTTGTTGTTGTCTTTTTAGTGGCACGATAAAGTGACTTTAGCCGAAAGTCATTCATTAAGAACGTTAACGTATTTAACACTGGCCAGCTAGAGAATAATTGTGTAAATGTTGGCTGCAAATTAAATTGGCTGCCACTTCGATTGTAGTTCCTATTGTTGTTGTTGTTTTTGTTGCAGTTGTAGCTGCCCGTAAACGTTTTTAGCCCGGACACGTACATGCGGCACTTCGACTAAACAAAACGAATGCACAAAGAAATAAAAAACAAGCGACGCGAAACTAAAAACCCAAAAAAATCAAATAAACGATTTCAAATTTATCGATTGTCCGATGCACGTAACGGTAATGACGGTAACGGTAACGGTAACGGTAACTCAACGCGTGTCAAGTGCGCGGCGCATTGTGCGGCCTTTTCGCGAACATTTCGTTGGGGCAATTTTCACAGGGCGTTTCAAGTGTGGCGCACGCGGCGTATGATTAATGCGTTGTATGGTGTTTTTTTTTTTTGCTCTTCACTTTGCTTAGGCTTGCAACTCAATCGCAATGTTGTTGTTGCTTGACGATGATTTATGCTTGTTGTTGTAGTCGATTAGCAGCTGATGCTGCCACAGTCGCTCCTCCTGCTGCAAAAACAAGCCAAAAATAAAGACAAAAATTAGTTGCGATTCGTTGTAGGCGCTTTAATAAATGATTTCCAATTTGACAAGCGCCAAGACCATTAATACCATCTCCATATCATATATCATATCGCAGAGCATTTAACAAGCTATTCGGGAATTTCCATTAAGATCTATTAACAAAAGGCGCCACTGTTCAATCACAACGACTCGTAAATTGGCAGACAATGTGAGATATATTTTTATTAATTTTCACAAGCCATTGATAAATATTTTTGCCCAATCTAAGCATAGATTGCTGTTCATTCATATATGTTCATATATATATAGATATATGTATTTGTTCTAGTTGCAACATGCGAAGTGCACACGCCTCTTGAATATAAAAGCCAGAAAAACAATGGGCCTGGGCTTTTACCCAATTGTGTGGGCGTGCATACACTGAGCGAAAAAATACCACTACTCTTCAGTATTTTTGGCAATACATACATACTACATACTATAGAAATTTCGCAGCACTGTTTAAATTTATTTTAAAAGCACATTTATAGCTTTTAAGGTTTAAGATAAATGAATGAAATGGAAAGGAAAAGCTTTCTTTTACAGCCTCTTTTGGGCAGCTTTGAAAGCACATTAAAGTTACAATAAAACTATTCAAGAGAAGTAAATTAGCTTTATCTTATATTACAAAATACAGAGCTTAAAGCTCTTTTAAAGTTTAACATTAACGGAATTTAATTTTATGAAAGCAAATAAAAAATTTAATTTATGGAACGCCCAATTTATAGTGTCCCAACATTAAATATTTTAATACTAAACTCCAAGTAAAAGCAGTTTTTATTTGTGTACACATGCCAGTCGAATTTGGGTTCATGGCAGACATAAAGTAGAAATTGTCGAGCTCTTAAGACAATTGAAGTCCAATAAGACTTTTTGCTGGCCCAATTGTGCAGTTATCAATGGGATCGGCTGCTTGAGAGCACATAACTCAACGTATTTGTTGTCGATTGGTTGAATAAACGCTGCGAGCTGTGCCAAGTTCAATGCTCGATAGGGATTGCATTTAATTATATATACTAAAAATATAGTATATATATTATATGTGTGTAGACAGTGTAAACAACGTGCGGCGCATTTCAATTGGATGAGATTAGAGTTTGGAAAAAGGCAAATGTTAACTTTCTATCTAAACTATCCACTAAAAATTGTTGCTTATCAAATGTCAATTTGCGTCTTGACGAGCTGATAAGCTGCAATTGTTATGTGAGTATATAGTGTATTCGAGTGTGTAGTAAAAGGCACATTAAGATTATTATCTTTATAATACAATTTGGCAACAGTGCTTGCTTAACGGGCACTGATAACGTGTCAGATTCCGTCTCGTTTCGGTTACAATTCCGGACACGCTCTTTTATAAGTTTTTGTAAGCAACAATAACTAAATGACTTTCACTATAAAATAAGGTAATCGATTCACTTTTCTTATCTTTCGACTGCACTTCATTAATTTTGAGAAAGCGTGAGTTACATACATAGCTAACAATTTTATACTAAAACAAAGTTTATACGTGTCAGATATCAGGAAATGCACTCTCCGATTTAAGCTGTTAGTTTAGGCTTGTGTTTACTTGAATTAAGTAATTTTTAAATTATATAAATATTTGTTGTATTGCGGTTAAACTTAATATATATTTTTTAACAAATTGTATTACAACTTGAATAATAAAATTTTAATAAATTGCGTTACAACTTGAGTAATAATAATTTTATTTTTCACAATTCTTGGCAATTGATTGCACTAAGCTTTTTTTGCTTCCTGGAACACGGACTATAAAGTCCCACAAAGTATACACATATCTAGCACACATATTTCTTATGATTTCATATAGTATCATGAATTAATGCACACCGTGTAAACCAAATAATTGTTATTTATTCACGTCGGCTAAATATTTGTTATTATTTAAACAAAAAAATTAATTTGTAAAACTTTTGAATATTGTTATATCACTTATTACCTATTATATCAACATATAGCTCTCATTAAGAGTGTAATCCAAATGAATGTAATTTGTAGCTGAACCTTCTTTTGTCATTTAACAGGAAATTCAGTGAACTTGTCGCGTGATCGGCCAAAAACTCTTTCAATAAGTTATCTTAAGAAAAGCATCGCGTGTAAACTACAAAACTTATTGAAAGCCATTTTAAAGGCTTCACTGCGCCCGTTTGTGCGTAGAACTCTGTGTCAGGTCACGTTTCACTTAGATAATCTCTTGGAAATTTAACATTTATATTTAAAATTTAACAAACACTCCACTGTTGGCATTTTGAGCGCCGAAACAGAACAAAAACCGTGCAGGCACATGGCTGATAAACTATTTCTCAACAATTGCCGCGAGGTTAACTCCTTTCAGTTATCGGATGGTCCGACCGAAGCAGCCAACAGTTCAGTGGCTCGTTGCCTGGCAGACTAATAAAATGAGCGAAAAGATTCGGTGATGAAAGCCTCGAGCAGAAAGACGAAACAAATCGGAAAAGAACAGAAAACAGAACAGAACGAACTGAATAAAACCGAGAGACGGCGGCGGGACGATGTCCGCGTCTGTAATCGCGGCAATCGTTTTTGCTTTAATCTAATAAATTTCTTATCAGCAAGCGGCGGGCATACGAGTACTACGAATGAACACACACATCCATATACTACATACATATATACATATACATATACATATACATATATACATTTATGCACATGGAGGTGTATGTGTGCATGCAGTTATCGCACTACCTGCCCCACACGCGGCCACTTGTCATTCCCGTCGCTCTGGCTATCAAGTAGACAGCCTTTTGTGATGGGTTTCTCTTTAACTTGAATACCCTGCACTTATGAGAGCAATAGGGTATACATATAAACTAAAAGATTTGATATACAAATAAGCTATTGCAACGGAGCTCTTGAAGTGCAATGCTTAGCTCATGATATTCATGTTTCTATCTTTGGCCGAAGGTATCTTTCCATCGAGTATCTCTCTCTCTCACATTATCTCTCTAACCTACATACCTTATAGATTTTGGTTAATAAAAATAGCATAGCCGAGTGCTAGTTTATCTTTCTCTCAGGGTATTTTCTAGTCGTGCACTCTCTCTCTCTCTCTGCCGGACATTTTTACATGTCTCGTTTCTTTGCTTTGCTCATTTGGATTGTCGACTTGTGCGTAAATTATAATGCTCACCATATGCACATAAATATACATATTTTCAAAATAGATTTAAGTATAACTTAAATTAAATATAGCATATACTTTCGGCTCTCGCTATTCTAATACTGCACAAGGCGATAGTTTTTAATCAAAGCGACCTTGTTTATTATCATGCGAATGAAAATAATTAAACTAATTTAATAATTTAAGTTAACATTTGCAGGGGAATAATTTATGGCCTTTAGTAAATAATAAAAGATAAAGGTTTCTCTTAAAAGAGCCAAAACAAATCGTGAATTAAAACGAGCTTTACTTGCAAGTTGTTGATTTAAGAAGTTCAAAAGGTTAATTAATTAATTAATAGTTGATACAGAGAGTTTGCGCTTAAAATTCTCAAACGGTTAAAGTTTTTTGTTAACCCTAAACCCATTGAAAATGTGCAAATGTGAACATGTGAACAATAACAGGTAGAAAAAAGCATCTCCGACCCTATATAGTGTATATATTCTTGTTCAGCATCAATAGCCGAGAAAATCTATCCATGTCCTTCAGTCTGACCAACCGTATGTACGCACCAATCGATAAGAATCGATATCAGAATCTGCTTTTTGAGCATATCTCTTAAGTTTAACGAGCTTATATCACCAACTATAATAAACACACATATATATACAGATCAAGTATATATATATCTTTGCTACATCTTGAACTGCTTCTGGTTTTGGCAGAAGTTTCGGGCATTTAATAGTCGTGCACTCTCTAGGGGAGAACTTTATGTTATGTATGTTAAATCGGCTTAAAATGTAAGGCGGTAACTATGGTCGCCAACTTTCTACAAATGGGGGATGCCCCTTAATTAAATTGACCAGCAAGTTATATGATCAACAAGTATATATACTACTTATATAATAATTAATTAATAATATAATCAAAAGTGCAAATTTGAAATAAATTAAGAATTTAAGCTTTTAATGAGTTCACTTGAATGAGATGTTAAATAAAAAGCAATTGAGACATTTAATTATATTTCCCTCGTGTATTAATTTTTATTTACTTTGTAGCAGGTAACATCATGTGTCATGACAAATTACAAGTTTAAAGTCCAATCAGAAATACCAAATTTTTTATTTTAAAACTCTCCATATTACGCTTTAATTGCAGTTGTTCAATGATATAGAAATATTATGAAACGATATGAATGAGAATAATTCATGTGTTCAACCAATCCAGATAACTTAGTGCAACAACTGGAAAAGCCGACAAATGTAGTAAAAATTTTAATAATTATGTCAAACACTAATTAGTTTTATGGAACTGATGTGATAAAGAAAATATGCGTGATAAGCGAAAATATATTTATACGCCTTGTATTAAATGTCTTAATTACCAGACCTAATCTGAGCTGTATTATTCCACTCATGTGTGTGCGTGTCTGTATGTGTGTGTGTGGCTGATACCAATAAAAAGTGGTTTGATGCTGACCTACGCCAGTTTAATTTGGGTTTTTGCTGTTTAATTGTGATAGAACAATTGTTATATGATGCCAAAGTCTCCAAACTCAGAACTAGGCCAACGCAATAAACGTCGAGACAATGTCATTCACTTTGCGGCGTAGTTGGCCACATTCACATTCACATTCACATCCATATTCACATTCAGAGTTTTTTATTGGTCCCGCTCAAGTTGCAATCATAATGGGAATATATTTATACAATCGCTTCAAAGGAAAAATCTCAAGACATCCTCCACTCGCAATAAATATCAATTGTTATTATGCAGAAATTGTCGAATTCGATTCAATTGTTTG